ACGGACATGGAATGGGGCTTCCAGAGCCCGAAATGGAGGTCCCCCCAAGGCTCTCCAAGACGCACGAGGGCGCAAAGTTGGGCAGGCGTTTTACGCACTGGGCTAGTTTTGCAGCAAAAAAGAGGAGGGCGAAAATTGGGTTTCCGAAGCAGATTGAGCAGGAAGATAGGCCAGACTTTAAACAACACGTTGGAGTATTTGTTGAGTTAAGAACGGCGAATAAATTGGGTTTTTAAAGCCCCCCCAAGTATTTATTTTATTTATTTACTAGCTGTACCTGCCACGCGTTGCTGTGGCCAACCTTCCCTCTTTCCTTCCTTCCTTCTCTTCCTTCCTTCTCTATCTCTTTCCTTCCTTCCCCCTTTTTCTTTCTCTTCTGCTGTCTCTCTTTTCTTCTCTCTTTCCTTCTTTCCTTCCCTCCCTCTTTCTCTACATCTCCCCCTTCCTTCGCTCCCTCTTTCCTTCCTTCCCTCTTTTTCTTTCTCTTCTGCTGTCTCTCTTTTCTTCTCTCTTTCCTTCTTTCCTTCCCTCCCTCTTTCTCTACATCTCCCCCTTCCTTCYCTCCCTCTTTCCTTCCTTCRCRCTTTTTCTTTCTCTTCTGCTGTCTATCTTTTCTTCTCTCTTTCCTTCTTTCCTTCCCTCCCTCTTTCTCTACATCTCCCCCTTCCTTCGCTCCCTCTTTCCTTCCTTCCCTTTTTTCTTTCCTTCTCTCCTTCTCTAACATTCCTTCCTTCCCCCTTTTTCTTTCCCTCCCTCTTTCTCTCCTTTCTTCCTTTCCTTCCTTCTCCCTTTCCTTCTTTCTTTCACTCCCTCTTTTCTTTTCTTTCTTTCTTTCTTTTTCTCCTCTTCCCTTTTTCCGTATTGTCATTTAGCTTTTCATCATTTAGCTTTTTGGGGCTTTTCAAGTCCCTTCTGCTGCGTTTTCCAGTGTTTTTATGAGTGAAGGACATACATTGGGTTGTTAGGTGTTTTGTGTCTAAATTTGGTGTCAATTCCCCCAGTGGTTTTTGAGTTCTGTTAATCCCACAAACGAACTTTACATGTTTATTTATATAGATTTTGAACACTTTTACCCCGCCCTTCTCAACCCTGGGGAGGACTCAGGGCAACAATTTGATGCCGCATAATAAAATACAAAACACCAATAATTATAATAGTTAAAAGCATAAAAACATTAAAGCAAAACATTAAGGCAATATACTTAACAGTCCACTGAGCTATTACCAGTCTGGTGGCAATTTATCTAGCCGTATACTATGGGTACTCCTTTTAACTTATTCATAATCTATTTCCAGCCAATATTGTTAATTGTCATTTCCGCCTAATTACCTGAAGGCCTTGTCCAACATCCATGTTTTTACCTTCTTCTTAAAGGTGAGGAGGGATGATGATGACCTAATTTCCCCAGGGAGTGAATTCCACAGGTGCGGGGCCAACACCGAGAAGGCCCTGTCCTTCGTCCCCGCCAAGCGTGTTTGAGACAGAGGCAGGGCCGAGAGCAGGGCCTCCCCAGAAGATGTTAAACTCTGAGATGGGACGTAGAAGGTGACATTTATGACATGCATATAAAGGCACATATTACATTCAGATCTATATCTTCCTTCCCCTCTCTCTAAAAGCCTTCAAAGAAGGATCCTCCACCACACTCTGGGGCAGAGAGTTCCACTGCTGAACAGCCCTCACAGTCAGGAAGTTCTTCCTAATGTTCAGGTGGAATCTCCTTTCTTGTAGTTTGAAGTCATTGTTCTGCGTCCTAGTATCCAGGGCAGCAGAAAACAAGCTTGCTCCCTCCTCCCTGTGACTTCCTCTCACATATTTATACATGGCTATCATGTCTCCTCTCAGCCTTCTGCAGACTAAACATGCCCAGCTCTTTAAGCCGCTCCTCATAGGGCTTGTTCTCCAGACGCTTGATCATTTTAGTTGCCCACAATTGAAGGGAGATGTTGACAAGTTGGAATGTGTCCAGACACATTCCAACTTGTCAACATCTCCCTTCAATTGTGGTGCCCAGAATTGGTCTCAGTGTAATTCCAGATGCCCCTCAAACTGTTGGAGGGCCAGATTATAATTTGAATAAAGCATGAATGAATTCCTATGCATAGTGCACATATCTTATTTGTAGTACAAAAAACACTTAAAAACAATACAATAATTAAAATGAAGAACAATTTTAACAAATATTAACTTATTAGTATTTCAATGGGAATTGTGGGCCTGCTTTTGGCTGATGAGATAGGGTTGTTGTTGTGTTGTTGTTGTTGTGTGATTTCAGGTTGTTTCAGACTGAGTGAGGGCCGAGTAAATGACCTTGGAGGGCCGCATCCGGCCTCCGGGCCTTAGTTTGAGGACCCCTGATCTAGACACTAGACTCCTATTGATGCAGGCCAAAATCCCATTGGGTTTTTTTGCTGTCGTATCACATTGTTGGCTCATGTTTAACTTGTTCTCCAAGAGGACTCTAAGATCTTTTTCACACATCCTGCTCTCAAGCCAGGCATCCTCCCCCTTTCTGTATCTTTGCATTTCATTTTTTCTGCCTAAGTGGAGTATCTTGCATTTGTCCCTGTTGAACTCCATTGTGTTAGTTTTGGCCCATTATCTCTCTAATCTGTTCAGATCGTTTTGAATTCTGCTTCTGTCTTCTGGGGTGTTGGCAATCCCTCCCAATTTGGTGTCATCTCAGCGGCCTTGTTCTTTGTACAGGAACCTCGGGCCAAAATATGGAGCAAACTTTGGAGAAAATGGGTGGGGTTCTCTTGAATTGGAATGAGTACGGCCTCCTTTCCCCCTTCCCAAAAAAGAGGGTCCCCTGGGAAGCTCCAAAATGCACTATAGTACAAAGCAAAGCATAGGAGGAAAGGTAGGCCTTTCTGTAGAATCAATACACTTTTTGACAGCCCATTCACTGCCATGGCTCAAGGCTATAGTGGAGTTGTAGTTTTGCTTTTTAACTTGTATGCAGAACACATCATGCGATGTGCGGGGCTGGATGAATGCAAAGCTGGGGTGAAAATTGCTGGAAGAAACATTAACAACCTCAGATATGCAGATGACACCACTCTGATGGCCGAAAGCGAGGAGGAGCTGAGGAGCCTACTAATCAAGGTGAAAGAAGAAAGCGCAAAAGCCGGGTTGCAGCTAAACGTCAAAAAAACCAAGATTATGGCAACAAGAATGATTGACAACTGGAAAATAGAAGGAGAAACCGTGGAGGCCGTGACAGACTTTGTATTTCTAGGTGCAAAGATTACTGCAGATGCAGACTGTAGCCAGGAAATCAGAAGACGCTTACTTCTTTGGGAGGAGAGCAATGTCCAGTCTCGATAAAATAGTAAAGAGTAGAGACATCAGACTGGCAACAAAGATCCATTGCCTAGTCAAAGCCATGGTATTCCCTGTAGTAACCTACGGATGTGAGAGCTGGACCTTAGGGAAGGCTGAGCGAAGGAAGATCGATGCTTTTGAGCTGTGGTGCTGGAGGAAAGTGCCGAGAGTGCCTTGGACTGCGAGAAGATCCAACCAGTCCATCCTCCAGGAAATAAAGCCCGACTGCTCACTGGAGGGAAGGATACTAGAGACAAAGTTGAAGTACTTTGGCCACATCATGAGGAGACAGGAAAGCCTAGAGAAGACAATTATGTTGGGGAAAGTGGAAGGGAAAAGGAAGAGGGGCCGACCAAGGGCAAGATGGATGGATGGCATCCTTGAAGTGACTGGACTGACCTTGAGGGAGCTGGGGGTGGTAACGGCCGACAGGGAGCTCTGGCGTAGGCTGGTCCATGAGGTCACGAAGAGTCGGAGACGACTGAACGAATGAACAACAACAAGTTTTGCAATGTTTTTGGCCGCCTCTTGCCTTACCATGCCTGTACCTCTCCACACTACAACTCCCAGTGTAGATGTAGTGTAGAGCACAAAAAAAGGGGCTCCCACAGTAAAAAGCCTTTGTGATGACCAAAAGCAACAAACCTGCAAATCTGTGAAAGTAAACAGATCAACAAAGTGTAAGTCTGCAAAAATCAACATCAACAGAGTGGAGGTCTACAAAAATAAACATGCACCTTGCTGCAAGTTTTGTTTGCTTATGGGTAAAAAAAATAAAGAGTTGTTATTTCTCTTTTGAATTAGCTCTTCTATACAAGGGGCTACAATCTTTCAAATGTTTACAGCCCCTAAACAAATGTCGCTGGCCCATGTTAGGAGGACTTGGCTTGTCTAGAAGAAGGATGTTGGACTCATTGGTCAGGAGGGTCCCTTTCATTTCTAGCATTCTGTCTATCTCCTCTTCTGGAGGTCTTTAAGGAGAGGCTGGGCAGCCATCTGTTGGGAGGGCTTTGATGGTGCCTTCCAGCCTGGCAGAAAAAGGTTGGACTGGATGGCCTTTAAGGTTCTTTCACTCTCTTTCTCTGGAGGTTTTGAAACTGGATGGTGATCTGTCAAGAGTACTTGGATTGTACTTTTCTGCCTGACAGAAGAGGTTGGACTGGATGGCCTTTGGGGTTTCCTTCCGATTCTAGGGTTCTCTCTCTCTCTTTCTCTGGAGGTTTTGAAACTGAATGGCCATCTGTCGAGAGGGCTTTGATGGTGCCCCCCAGCCTGGAGAAGGAGGTTGGATTGGATGGCTTTTGGGGTTCCCTTCCAATTCTAGTATCCTATCTCTCATTTTCTCTGGAGGTTTTGAAACTGGGTGGCCATCTGTCGAAAGGGCTTTGATGGTGCCTCCCAGCTTGGAGAAGTAGGTTGGATTGGATGGCCTTTGGGGTTCCCTTCCAATTCTATAATTATCTTGCTCTCTTTCTCTGGAGGTTTTGAAACTGGGTGGCCATCTGTCCAGAGGGCTTTGATTGTGCCTTCCAGCCTGGCATTGGATGGCACAGGGGGTCGTTCTCTTCCAACTCCCGGATCCCATTCCAAACAGACTACAATTCCCAGCAGCCCTCCTTGCCGGCAGCTGGGGATTCTGGGAGTGGTAGTCCCCGCCCCGAGGTGGGTGTGGAGGGTGACGCAGGCAGTGGGAGGAGGAGCAGCCTGACCCTCCTCCTCTCTTTGGGCCCCAAGCAAGGAGGAAGAGGAGGAGGAGGAAGATGCCTTCTGCTGCTGCCAGCCTGACCCCGCAGGTGCATTGGGCACAGCGGCACCAGGAGCTTTACCTGCGCGTGGAGCTCAGCGACGTCCAGGTGAGCCCACCTGGCTGGGGTTGGAGAGCTGTGTTCTCATCCTTGCAAGGAGAATGGAGGAATGGGACCAGCTCAGGCATGGGCCAACTTCGGCCTTCCCTCCAGGTGTTTTGGACTCCAACTCCCACCATTCCTAACAGCCTGTTGGGAGGGCTTGCATGGTGCCTTAATAAGGATACAAATAAGCTTATTTGGGATATAAATAAGCATGATAATGAGTCTGGTGGAGTCATCTTTTGAGGATGGATGGCCATCTGTCAGGAGGGCTTGTGTGGTGCCTTCTTGCTCTGCTGTGGAGCTCCATTGGGTATTGCTTTTGGGATATATAGGCATAATAAGGGGTCTGGTCAAATTTCCTTCTTTTGAGGCTGGATGGCCATCTGTTGGGAGGGCTTGCATGGTGCCTTAAGGATACAAATAAGCTTATTTGAGGTGAAATAAGCATAATAAGAAGTTTGGTGTAGTCTCTTTTGAGGGTGGATGGCCGTCTGTCGGGAGGGCTTGCATGGTGCCTTAATAAGGATACAAATAAGATTATATGGGATATAAATAAGCATAATAAGGAGTCTGATGGAGTCTCCTTTTGAGTGTGGATGGCCATCTGTCGAGAGGGCTTGCGTTGTGTCTTACTACTCTGCTGTGGACCTCCATAGGATATTGCTATTGGGATATATAAGCATAATAAGGAGTCTGGTCAAATTTCCTTCTTTTGAGGCTGGATGGCCATCTGTTGGGAGGGCTTGCATAGTGCCTTCCTGCTGTTCTGTGGATTTTCATTGGGCACTGCTTTTGGGATATAAATAAACATAAGAAGGAGTCTGATGGAATCTCCTTTTGAGGTTGAATGGCCATCTGTTAGGAGGGCTTGCATTGTTCCAGCTTTTTCCTCTCCAGAAGGAGACCATTGGGTACCACTTTTGGAGAGAAAAGGTGGGGTATAAATGAATATAATAATCATCATCATCATCATCCTAGAGCTCCCGGGGGCGCAGTGGGTTAAACCCCTGTGCTGGCAGGACTGAAGACCGACAGGTCACAGGTTCGAATCCGGGGAGAGGCGGATGAGCTCCCTCTATCAGCTCCAGCTCCTCATGCGGGGACATGAGAGAAGCCTCCCACAAGGATTATAAAAACATCAAATCATCCGGGCAACGTCCTTGCAGACGGCCAATCCTCTCACACCAGAAGCGACTTGCAGTTTCTCAAGTCGCTCCTGACATGACAAAAACAAAAAAAATCATCATCCTTGGCCGGGTCATGCTTTCTCAACATTCCATCTCAATATTAGAAAATGCTCTTAAGGCTGGATCTCTACACTGTCATATAACCCAGTTTCTGAATCAGAGGATAACAGAAGGTCTTCTCTGGAGGTTGGGTGGCCATCTGTCAGGAGAGCTTGGATTGTGTCTTCCATTTGAGATCCCTTCCAACTCTACGATTCTGTGATTTTGGACACCCAATGCTGTGGTCAAATGGTGTGCCATATTTAACCAAATGGATTTTGCATTTGGGAAAAGTTTGAGCCAAGGATGGATATAAAAAGGACGGATATATTTAGTGTTGGTAGCAATGTGGTTGCTCCGCTGGTGTGGAGTGCTGGTTGTTATACCATTGCAAATAAAGCCCCATCTGCACTGGCATATAATCCAGTTTCTGAATCCAGACTGTTGAAATGCACTAGATGGCAATGTAGACTCATATCATCCAGTTTCTGAACCCAGATTATCTGCGTTGAATTGGACTAGACGGCAATGGAGATCCAGCCTAAACTATGGATGCATGGTACTACTGGGTTTAATGAACCAATAGAATAATGATGATGACGATAATGTTAATAATACATACATACATACAGACATACATTACCAGCCTCTCCTTGAGGTTCGTGATGCAAACTGACGTCCCACGTTCCTGCTCCATTTGCATTTTTCTTGGTTTCCTTCTTGCAAAACCAGATTTTCAGGCACCAAACTGCAATCTTCAATATTTTGTTGGTGGGAATAGCAGGCCACAATTTCTTTAACTAGATTATTATTATTATTATTAGTAGTAGTAGTAGTAGTAGTAGTAGTAGTTGTAGTAGTTGTAGTAGTAGATACACAACAATATTAGTACATAGTCGCAGGGTATAAAAATAAAGTTATTATTATTATTATTATTATTATTATTATTATTATTATTAGAAACACAACAAGATGAGTCCACAGCAGACAAGATCACTATGCTGGCTTTTGTATTGGATCACAAGTCATTTCCCAAGTGTCTAGGACCGTGTGATGTATCGGCAAATAATACGTGCAGATCCTAGTAGGGTGGCCTTTTGCAGCTGATAATGGTAATTTTTTCAGCGCCGATTATTTTTAAGTGCAGGCCAAGGTCTTTAGTCACTGCACCCAGTGTGCCGATGACCACTGGGACCATCTTTACTGGCTTGTGCCAGAGTCTTTGCAGATCTATCTATCTATCTATCTATCTATCTATCTATCTATCTATCTATCTATCTGTTATTATTATTATTATTATTATTATTATTATTATTATTATTATTTCTACCCCTCTTTTTCTCTCTACAAAGGAGACTCAAAGCAGTTTATGTTAAAAGCCTTTCAGTGCAATTTGAAATCTCCAAATGTGCAAAAATTAAACAGAGCTATTTGCAGAACAGTATTTCAGATCCCATTTGTTCAAAGAAACAAGTTCACAACCATATCTATCTATCTATCTATCTATCTATCTATCTATCTATCTATCTATCTATCTATCTATCTATCTATCTATCTATCTATCTATCTATCTATCTTTTTATCTCCTGCTCCACACCAATCTCTTGTCTCTTTTCTTTCCAGAATCCTGAAATCACCATCACAGACAATGTGCTCCATTTCAAAGGTAGGTCCATTTTCAGTCTTGTTTCAGGACACTGTCTCTCTTTGGAGGAGGAAAAGTTTGCTCGTTTCCTGAAGTTTGAACCTGTGGATAAGGGAATCCACAAATTTGTGGATATGGAAAAACATAAAGAAAAATTGCTTTGACAGCCAGTAACCTTTGAATTATGCATTTAAAAATATTTCAATATGTCATTTTTAATGTTTGCCTGTTAGGTTTTAAATTATATCTTGTATTGCTTTTATTGTTGGCTGCTTTTGGTCACTTTTGAGAGAGATAAGGCCAGGTAGAAACAACAGCAACAACGTATTGTCGAAGGCTTTCTTGGCTGGAATCACTAGGTTCTTGTGGGGTTTTTCGGGCTATATGGCCATGTTCTAGAGGCATTTCTCCTGACGTTTCGCCTGCATTTATAGCAAGCATCCTCAGACCTCACCTGAGGATGCTTGCCATAGATGCAGGCGAAACGTCAGGAGAAATGCCTCTAGAACATGGCCATATAGCCTGAAAAACCCCACAAGAACCTAACAGCAACAACAATCCAGTTTTTTTTATCGTGCCAGGAGCAACTTGAGAAACTGCAAGTCACTTCTGGTATGAGAGAATTGGCCGTTTGCAAGGACATTGCCCAGGGGACGCCTGGATGATTTGATGTTTTTATCATCCTTGTGGGAGGCTTCTCTCATGTCCCCCCATGAGGAGCTAGAGCTGACAGAGGGAGCTCATCTGCCTCTCCCCGGATTTGAACCTGCGACCTGTCAGTCTTCAGTCCTGCCGGCACAGGGGTTTAACCCACTGCGTCACCGAGGGCTCCAATCCAATAAAATCCAATCCAATCCAATAAAAACAGCATTAAAAATAACACTAAAATAATAGTAATAATTCTACTTGTTTATTCTTGATCTACTAATACTGATATGGTGAAAATACAACTAATGGTTGCCAATAATAATAATAGCAATAGTAATAGTAATAATTCTACTTGTTTATTAACATCTGCTATTCTTGATATTCTAATACCAATGATGCTGAAAATACAACCTGCTGCACCCCGGTGGTGCAGTAGGTTAAACCCCTATGCCAGCAGGACTGAAGACTGACAGGTCGCAGGTTCGAATCCAGAGAGAGGCGGATGAGCTCCCTCTATCAGTTCTATCAGCTCCAGCTCCTCATGCGGGGACATGAGAGAAGCCTCCCACAAGGATGATAAAAACATCAAATCATCCGGGCGTCCCTGGACAATGTCCTTGCAGACGGCCAATTCTCTCACACCAGAAGCGACTTGCAGTTTCTCAAGACAAAAAATAAAAATTATTATTATTATTAATATTATTATTATTATTATTAATAATAATAATAATAATAATAGCAATAATATACATCACACAGTCCTAGACGCTTGGGAAGTGTTCGACTTGTGATTTTGTGATAAATCCCGCATATAGATCTCGTTTGCTGTGACATACTGTGTTTTTATAGCAATAATAATAATTCTACTTGGGTTGCTGTGAGTTTTCTGGACTGTCTGGAGATATTCCAGAAGCATTCCCTCCTGACGTTTCACCCGCATCTATGGCAGGCATCCTCAGGGGGTGTGAGGTCTGTTGGAAACTAGGAAAATGGGGTTTATAGATCTGTGGAATGTCCAGGATGAGAGAAAGAACTCTTATCTTTTGAAGGCAAGTGTGAATGTTGCCATGGGCCACCTTGATTAGCATTGAATGGCCTTGCAGCTGCAAAGCCTGGCTGCTTCCTGTATGAGGGAATCCTTTGTTGGGAGATGTTAGCTGGCCCTGATTGTTTACTGCCTGGAATTCCCCTGTTTTCTGAGTTTTGTGCTTTATTTGTTGTCCTGATTCTAGAGGTTTTTTTTAATGATGGTATCCAGTTTATGTTCATTTTCATGGTTTTCTCCTTTCTGTTGAAATTGTCCACATGCTTGTGTATTTCAGTGGCTTCTCTGTGTCGTCTAACATGGTGGTTGTGAGAGTGGTCCAGCATTTCTGTGTTCTCAAATAATACGCTATGTCCGGTTTGGATCACCAAGTGCTCTGCTATGGCTGACTTCTCTGGCTGAATTAGTCTGTAGTATCTTTACTGTTCCAGAAAGGAGGAAACCATGAAAACAAACAGTTGCCCATGTTTTTCTTTAATCGATGCTATCATTTCCATGCACAGCTAAAACATTAGATTTTTTTTCCTGCTTCCTGATCCATTTGTGCGCAAATGCGGTCTCATTTTAATATGGTGGTGACATTTCCACATTTTCCTAATTTTGACCATTGGAAACAAGTCTGGCGAACAGTCCTTTCTTTCTTTCTTTCTTTCTTTCTTTCTTTCTTTCTTTCTTTCTTTCTTCTTAAACTTCTGTTTGGATTTTTCCAATGTTGAGTTTTGAAAGGGAAATGAATTCCTATGTGAATGTCTTTGTTTGCGTTGAGTTGGCTTTACTTTTATTTTCCCAGCTCAGGGCCATGGCGCCAAAGGGGACAATGTGTACGAATTCCAAATCCAGTTCCTCGGACCAGTGGAGCCGCAGGTAAGTTTCCTTATTTCTTTGCTTAAATGGATGGCAATGCGGCCAAGCAGGTATGCGCTGTGTTGAATTGCACAACGGTTATTATCTCAACCTTGCTCCACATTCAGGTTGGCTGACGGAAGAAATGCTTTCAGCCAAAAGCGTGGGCTTGGAAGTTAGCTAATCAGGGACTTTCCCTTCTTTTTGCTGAAAGGAGTGCTGGGTTTTCTTTGCTTATATCATGGCAATACATTAATAGTTTTTTGATTCCACCTGCAAGGGATAATTCCTTACAGTTAATGGCATAAGAATGGCTTGAATGTTGGACCAGGGGGGCATCTGCACTGTGAAATTAATGCAGTTTGATACCTCTTCAATTGTATTCTTTGGCAGAGAAAACTAAAGACTTTACGAGACTACAACTCCCAATACATACGTTATAGATAAAGAGATCTGTGTGCTAGGTCCAATGCAGTTACATGGGTCTCTCTGACTTTCATGCATGAATTTTAATGGCATATTTATTATTATTATTATTATTATTATTAATAATAATAATAATAATAATAATAATAATAATAATAAGAGTTTTGGAGCACAATACTCCTGACCTCATGATCACGTTAAAAAACAAAGTGTGGATCGTCAATGTTGCAATCCCAGGCGACAGCAGGATTGAAGAGAAACAACTGGAAAAGCTGACACAATATGAGGATTTAAAAATTGAACTGCAAAGACTGGCACAGGCCAATAAAGGTGGTCCCAGTGGTCCCAGTGGTGATCGGCACACTGGGTGCGATGCCTAAAGACCTTGGCCTGCACTTAAACACAATCGGTGCTGACAAAATTACCATCTGCCAGCTGCAAAAGGCCACCTTACTGGCATCTGCATGTATTATTCGCAGATCACCACTGGGACCACCTTGACTGGCTTGTGCCAGAGTCTTTGCAGTTCGATCTTTAAATCCTCATATCGTGTCAGCTTTTCCAGTTGTTTCTCTTCAATCCTGCTGTCACCTGGGATTGCAACATCGACAATCCATACTTTGTTTTTTTAACACAATCATGAGGTCAGGAGTATTGTGCTCCAAAAGTCTATCTGTCTGAATCCGGAAATCCCAGAGTAGCTTGACATGTTCATTTTCTGTAACTGTTTCCAGCTTGTGATCTCACCGGTTCTTTGTCGCAGGCAGATGGTATTTGTGGCACAAGTTCCAACTAATCATCTGAGCAATGGTGTTATGCCTCTGCTTGTAGTCTGTCTGCGTGATCTTCTTGCAGCAGCTAGGATGTGATCTATTGTTTCATCTTAATAACAATAATAATGATAATAATAATAATAATAATAATAATAATAATAATAATAATAATGTCAGTCTGGGCTATTTTCTTGCAACCGCAAATGAGGTGCTCCACTGTCTCATCCCTCTTGTTGCATAAATGGAATTTCGGATCATTGTAGGACTTTACTGTTCTTCTTTTTATTGTATTTGTTCATAAGGCTTGTTTTTGTGCAGGAAAAATCAGGCCATCAAGTTTCTTTTTTTAGGGTTCCCCTTCTAAGCCACTTCCATGTTTTCGTACTGTCGACCTTCTCTTTGATGGTCTTAACATAGTGCCCATGGAGGATGATGATGATTATTATTATTACGTGGAGCCCCTGGTGGCGCAGTGGGTTAAACCCCTGTGCCAGCAGGACTGAAAACCGACAGGTCGCAGGTTCGAATCCAGGGAGAGACGGATAAGCTCCCTTTATCAGCTCCAGCTCCTCATACAGGGACATGAGAGAAGCCTCCCACAAGGATGATAAAAACATCAAATCATCCGGGCGTCCCCTGGGCAACGTCCTTGCAGACAGCCAATTCTCTCACACCAGAAGCACTTGCAGTTTCTCGAGTCACTCCTGACACGACAAAAAAAAATATTATTATTTTGCATCTGCAATACCTTTGCTATAAAATGTCTGTGCTGAAGATTGTGTATGATGGTCTGCTGTCTGATGATGCATTGGCTTTGCACTCTTCAGCCAGTGTACAAAGTGACGCAACGACAATTGAGCATCACGATCAAGAAAGTGGAGAAACATTGGTGGGTGCGGCTGACCAAGCAGGAGAAGCGACCCCTGTTCCTCGGTCCCGATTTCGACCGATGGCTGGACGAGTCCGACGCCGAGATGGAGCTGAAGGCCAAGGTAAAGTCTTCATCCTTCCCTATGCAATCCAAAGGAGATATATTAGGCATGTGCAATCCATAAAAATGTTTCAAAACTCATTACAAAATTAGGAGGTGCCAATGATCTGTTTCTAAAGCGTTGTTGGTGAAAATTCCATTACTATAATGAGAGTTCCAAAATCTCATTAGTTTTCCATTATAGTAATTGCGCAAGTGGGGAAACTTCAGGGGCTCCTTTCTCCCTCATTTTTACAGCTATTTGGGTGAAACTTGCTACAATGGTAGAACACATTGACCACCGTGAGCCCATCAAGTTTCAGAACATTTCACTTATCCACGGATTTTTGGGGAATTTTCAAAGCTTTTATAAACAACATTTTTTAAAGAAATCTACAAGAGCGATCTCTTTGAATTTTCTGTACAGTGACACAAAGATAAAAGAGGATCATTCCCCACGACTTTTGGAAATATTCACACATATACTGATTTTAGGATTTTTTAAAAAAAGTTTTTAAAGTTTTTTTTAAAGCCACATCAGCCACCTCATTGAATGTCTCCCTCTCATATTACCCAATAGGACATCCATTGAGGGATTTCTTCCCAGCCCAGCACAGGGATTGACTTGCTAGAAGTATCTTTGATCATATGCCAAAATATTGTATTATTATTACTATTATTATTATTATATATCAAAATATTAAAATGTGATGGCAACTGATTTATATGCACCCTTCTAGGTTTATTTCTGTTTCAATGTTTACGTGTTGCAGGTTTTAAAACTGCAATGCTTTTGAATACCGTGAGCCGCTCTGACTCTTGATTAAAAATGGGATGGAAGTAAATATAATATTAATGACGACGATGATGATGATAATAATAATAATTGTTCTATCTGTAAGAACTACTGCATTTGCTTTCTTGTGTGTTGGGGAGATGTTTGAACCGAAAGACAAATGCTACGTATCATTGCCTTTTGGTTTTGTTGCCATGGGTGACATTGTAGCAGTATTATGTGCTTGCAAATGGAAATTATTATTATTATTATTATTATTATTATTATTATTTTCCATTTCCAATAATAATGGAGCCCCCAGTAGCACAGTGGGTTAAAGGGCTGAGCTGCTGAATATGCTGATCAAAGGTCGCAGGTTTGAATCTGAGGAGCGAGGTGAGCTCCTGCTGTTAGCCCCAGCTTCTGCCAACCTATCAGTTAGAAAACATGCAAATGTGAGTAGATCAGTAGGTACTGCTCCGGTGGGAACGTCATGGCGTTCCGTGCAGTCATGCCGGCCACATGACTTTGGAGGTATCTACGGACAACACCGGCTTTTCAGCTTAGAAATGGAGATAAGAACCAACACACAAAGTCAGACACTACTAGACTTAATGTCAGGGGAAAACCTTTACCTTTACCACCACCACCACTGCTACTACTACTGCTACTACTACAAATAATAATATGGTTGTGGATCTCATCTTGCATCCAGTTTGAGCTGTTTATAGTGATTTCTTTTTGTATCAGGACCGACTTGAGAAACTACAAGTCGCTTCTGGTGTGAGAGAATTGCTCGGATGTGTTATCATCCTGTGAGAGGCTTCTCTCATGTCCCCACATGGGAAGCTGGAGCTGACAGACGGGAGCTCACCCCACTCCTTGGATTCACACCGCCGACCTTCAGGTCAGCAGTTCAGCCGTCACGCATTGTGCCACCGCAGCTCTAGTGTTGCAGAGCCACAACCTGATACCCAAACGGATGCTTCCAAAGGGCCCTAATGTTCCGAAAATGTTTTCTCCCTAATTTTTAGGAGGAAGAAAGGATTAACAAAATCAACTTTGAGAACAGGATCCCCAAAGACCGTAAGTTGCTGTGCTTTTCTTTATTTTGCAATATGTAGATAATATAGATATATGCACCAGCAAAAATATCAGGTAAGGACATTATTTCCCTTATATCTTTAGGCTTTTTCCCCTTTCCAAGATTTGGCTATTATTAGTCTTGCCGCAACAAAGCAATATTGACAAGTGCAGGCCAAGGTCTTGAGGCACTGCACCCAGTGTGCCGATCACCACTGGGACCACCTTTACTGGCTTGTACCAGAGTCTTTGCAGTTTGATCTTTCAATTCTCATATCGTGTCAGCAAAAAAACCCCTCTCCAATATTTTTTTTGGGTGTGCAACATGTTTTCCAGATCCATTGTCAGTGGGGGTCACTATGCTCTGACTTGATGCAGGGTGAACTACAACTTCCATCATGTGGAGTCAATCTCCCAAACTCCTCCAGTATGGTCAGTTGCTAATTAGTTCTGCTCTGTTTGTTGTGCAGACAGAGTTGAAAAGAGTAGGAAAGAGTTAAGGGAGAGGCAGTGGGCGGGATCATGCAAATTCCACACCGATGGATAGAGTAAAAAAACACTGGTGGAGGAAACTTGTAAAATCTAGGATGAAATGGTCCCCGAATGAAAGCATTCCTTGAGTTGTGCTCAGTGAGGTTTTTGGGGAGGATATTGGCTGGGGTTGGGCTACATATTCACGGCACTTGCTATAACCTGAAATGACATTGGCGGGAGTGCTTTTGGTGGCTCTTCAATACTGTGGATTAAAGCTGTTTGTGGAAGTGGGCATTCCAGCCACAATCACATAGACATATAAATATAGATAATATTACAAGGCACACTTGAGACTCTTTGTTTCAAGGCTACGGAAAGAGCAGCACCCTCCTTCAATTCTTTTTGAAAACATTCAAAGGCTCATTTAGCCTTATCAGGCACTCAGAAGTGGTCTTTACATTTTTTAGAATGCATTATTATTGTTATTATTAATTTGAAAGAGAAAAATAACTACTTTTCAACCTGTTCTATTGCTTTGACAGTACTCTGATCCCTCACCCATCAAATGAGCAGAACCTTGCCTTTTTCTCCCCTAGAAATAATACAGATAATTTGAAAACAAAGACAGCCCAAAATGAACAGATAATACATATTTTCCTATCCTGTGTTGGTTTGCAGCGTTCCGGCACCTGAAGCGAGGCTACCTCTTCATGTACAATCTGGTGCAGTTCCTGGGCTTCTCCTGGATCTTTGTAAACATGACCGTCCGGCTGTTCATGCTGGGGAAAGGCAAGTGAGCCTCCTCTCTTCCTTACTGAAAGACAGCACTCGGCTTCTGAAATGTTTGCACTTGGATAGAGCCTTATTGGCTGGTTTTTATGCTGACCGTATAATGTGGACTGCATTGAACTGCATGGTTTGGTCATCATAGACCCAAATCAGTTTGAATTGCATCAGACTGCATTATAGGATGAGTGTAGAGCCATATAATGCCATTTGAACTGCACTGAACGGCATTATATGGTCAGCATAGACCCAAAACAGTTTGAATTGCATCAAACTGCATTATAGGATGAGTGTTGCGTCATATAATGCCATTTGAACTTCACTGAACTGCATTATATGGTCAGCATAGACTCAAATCAGTTTGAATTGCATCAGACTGCATTATAGGATGAGTGTAGCGTTATATAATGCCATTTGATCTTCACTGAACGACATTATATGGTCAGCATAGGCCCAAATAAGTTTGAATTGCATCAGACTGGATTATAGGATCAGTGTAGAACCATATAATGCCATTTGAACTGCACTGAACTGCATTGTATGGTCAGCATAGACCCAAATCAGTTTGCATCATAGGATCAGTGTAGGACCTTATAACACCATTTAAACTGCATTGAATGGCATTGTATGCTCAGCATAGACCCATATCAGTTTGAACTGCATCGGACTGCATCATAAAGTCAGTGTAGGGCCATATAATGCCATGTGAACTGTATTCAAATGCATTGTATTGTCAGTGTAGACCCAAATCAGTTTGAATTGCATCAAACTGCATTATAGGATCAGTGTAGGGCCATATAATGCCATTTGAACTGCATTATATGATCAGTGTAGGGCCATATAATGCTGTTTATACTACATTAAACTGCATTATAGGGTCACTGTAGAGTCATATAATGCAGCTGAAACACAAGTTATTTATGCTTCATATCGTCTTTATACACATAGCAGTTTTGTGCATGAGCCACCAGGAAGCCAATGAACAGACAACTCTACACTTTGTGGCAGTGAGTTCCACTGTTTGTGGAAAACATCTGCCTGATTTGTTCTGCTCTGAAATGTCCAGCAGATGGGCTTGGGGTGGGGGATGATGGGTCCTAGCGTGATCCAAATGGATGCTGAAACCAAGTCTTATGTGTTTTCCCAGATTCCTTCTTTGATACGTTCCACACGACGGCAGACATGATGTACTTCAGCCAAATGATGGCCGTCCTGGAGATTGTAAACACCTTGATAGGTCTGGTCCGAGCTCCTCTTTTGCCCGTCCTTTTCCAGGTAACTTCCCTTTCAGTAAAAGCCAGGTAGCAATGTCTTAATAGTGGGAGAGAACGCCAGTGAATCCGCTCCGTGCTTTAGTCCGAATGGCAAAAGACTTCTTATTCGGGGGAAGGAATGCAATCGTGCTTGGAAGCTCTGATGTTACCAAGGCAATGAATCCGCTCTGAGTTGTAGTCCAAGCTGCAAAGGCGTTCCTCTCCCAGTTAACCAGAACTCTCAAACAACTGTCAAAAATAATACTTTAAATAAAAATTTAAACAAAATCATTTTAATAATAATAATAATAATATACTATAATAATAGAATAATTATTTAATATTTCAATTTAATTTACATCTCACCTGGCATTGCTTCAGAACAAATCTAAAGAATGTATTTGTTTCTTGGCTGGAAAGCAAGCATGCTCCATGCAAGGTACGGAGGTGAGGAAAAGCACATATATGTTGTCAAACATGGCTTCTTCCCATTGGAGAACCTGATGTTTATTTTGACCCAAAGTTTGCAACTCGGGAGTCTTTTCTTACCCTTTATTTCCTTATTTCCAGGTTAGTGGAAGGAACTTTGTTTTATTCATTGTCCTTGGAAGCGTGGAAGAAATGCAGAGCAAAGCCGTTGTGTTCTTCATCTTCTACATCTGGAGCATGGTAGAGATATTCAGGTACTTTCCTTCCTCTTGGCATTCCCATCACTATCACTATTTTATGTCATCATCATGTGCTATGACTTCAGTTAGTTGTCCCACTGTTGTTCTGTTTTCTCCTTTTCTTCCTGTTGGCATTCCTGTTGTTGTCATTATGGTCATCATAATTATATTATTATCCTGTACTGTGACTTATATTATTATCCTGTACTGTTAGTTGTCCCATAGTTGTTCTGCTTACGCCTTTCTTCTCTCCTAGGTATCCTTTCTACATGTTGTCCTGCATCGATATCGAATGGAAGATCCTGACCTGGATCCGCTATAGCATCTGGATCCCCCTTTATCCACTGGGAATCTTAGCCGAAGGTATGCCGTTTGGAAACTGTTTCCTTTTAATGTATTGTAGAAGGCTTTCATGGCTGGAATCATTGGGTTGTTGTAGGTTTTTCGGGCTATATGGCCATGTTCTAGAAGCATTCTCTCCTGATGTTTCACCTGCATCTATGGCAAGCATCCTCAGAGGTTGTGAGGTCCTCACAACCTCTGAGGATGCTTGCCATAGATGCAGGCGAAACATTAGGAGAGAATGCTTCTAGAACATGGCCATTTAGCCCGAAAAACCTACAACAACCCAGGTTTCCTTTTATTTTTGCACTCTGCACTGTGGAATGGGTGCCGTTTTGAAACCACTCAAAAAGAGGTTGGATGGCCATCTGCTGGGGGTGCTTTGATTGTGCTTTTCCTGCTTGGCATGTATAGGGTTGGACTGGATGGCCGGGGGGGGGAGGTCCTTTCCAACTCAATGCTATGGCACCCTGGGATTTGTAGTAGTTCACCTTCAGGATGGTGAAGGCTAAAGAGCCGTGGTGAATAAATGATGTCAGTGTGACTGTGTACGAGCACCATCTGTCTCACAAACTGGAAAAGATGCAAACCAAAGCAATACACACAACACGATTTTTGTACCTGGGTTATAAATGTCATTTCTTAATTGGTTACATTATTTATTATATCAGGAGTGAAGCAAGGGTACAGTTGTGATGTACTTAGAAACATAAAATTTAAAAACTTGGCATTCTATTAAATGTAAATTAGCTGGATACTTGGGAGTGCCTCTGGTGTTGCTATAAGGAGCTCCTCCATTGTGCATGTGGCAGGGCTCAGGCTGCATTGTACTGAGTGACCTCTGGTTTGCTCACTGAGCAAGTTACAGAGAGCGGTCAACCCCCCTGTTTAAACAGCTCCACTGGCTGTTCTGGTCCCAATTCAAGGTGCAGGTGATTACTTACCCTAAACAATTTGAGACCTGCCTATCTTCAGGATTGCATCTTCCCCTACAAACCAGCATGAGCCCTAAGATCATCTAGGGAGGCCCTCCTCTCGCTTCCGCCTTTCTCAGGTGCCATTGGTGGGGATGAGGGAGAGGGCCTTCTCAGTGGTGGCTCCCTGGCTCTGGAACTCTCTTCCTAGGGAGATCAGACTGTCACCTTCCGCAAGAACCTAAAAACCTGTATGTTCCATTGTGCCTTTGATTAGGCGGCTCCAAAGAATTGGCCCTTTAATAAGTTTCGGCACTTTAGCATTCCCCTCCGCTCTACAATCCTGACATTAGGACATTACTCTCCCATCCATTCCACTGAATTTTTGCACTTTCCCTTAGCTCTACTTAAGAATTTTGCACAAACTCAGAGCCCTCTGAACTCAGCACTTTTATTGCTCCCATGGTAATGTTTTCATGATGTTATGTTTTAATGTGATATGTTTATATTTGGTTTTGTTTTATTTTATTGTGTTAAGTTTTAACTCTGTGTTTTCTGAGCTTGTCCCTTTGTAAGCCACCCCGTGTCCCTTCGGGGAGATGGCGGCAGGGTATAAAAATTATTATTATTATTGCTCTTCTCCACACCTGCATGTTGTGGTTTCCACTTCTTCAGATTGGCTGTGCATCTCATGGTGCCAGAGCGCAGTCTGTTCAGCGCCTTCCAAGTTGCCCAGTTTTCTGTGAGCCCAGGAGGAGTCTCTCATTTGGTATCAGCAATGGATTGAGGTTCCGAACGTATCTCCCCTTACGAACCACTGAGGACTTTAAGATCATCTGGGGAGGCTCGGCTCTCGGTCCCGCCTTCATCACAAGCACGTTTGGCGGAGACGAGAGACAGGTCCTTCTCAGTGGTGGCCCCTCGGCTATGGAATGCCCTCCCTAGGGAGATCAGATCTGCTCCCTCCCTCTTGATGTTTCGGAGGCAAGTTAAAACGTGGCTACTCAAGCAAGCATTTACAAATACAGAGTAGCTAATATAGGAAATCAAATGACCTGACAATGGAATTGGACAATGCTTGAGAATGAGATGCTGATGATGTTGTTTTTACTGCTTTTGTGATGTTTTATATTGTTTAATGTTTTTATCTATATTATGTTTTATGTATACTGATTTGTTGGAAACCGCCTTGAGTCGCCCATTGGCTGAGAAAGGCAGTATACAAATACAGTAAATAAATAAAGAAATTATAGCCTGCCATTTTGGACTCTTGCTTGCTGAGGTATTCCTGCGAGTATATATGTAGATCTTAGAAAACTATTTCTTGATTTAAGTTCAGATATCAGCATGCTGGCTGATATCTGAACAGGGCATGAGCCAGAGATGTCACTGCTTTGGTTCTTTCACAATTGGTTGCTACTTCCTGGTGGATGTCAGGTGGTGCAATACCGGCTAAATAGTGTAATTTCTCCAATGGTGTAGAGTGCAGACATCCTGTGATGATGCGGCATGTCTCATTAAGAGCCACATCATAGAAATATGGAAACAGTTCATTAAACTGCATGAACTTTGTTTTTGCGGGAGGAACATCGTGCAGCACATTTTGCAATAGTTTTTCAATGAATATCTCATTGAGTCTCAACCAGTTGCAACCTAGTTTGTGACAGTCACAAAAACAAAGTTTCTGGAGTAGAACAATGACTTTCAAAGTAAGGACTGCACAATTAAACAGGAAATAACACTTTTAACCCAGGAACAGAACATTTTCCAAATTTTGTTACATAGCGTATTTGGATTTTGAGAACAATGATTGGTGATAAAGCTTTAGAGGGAGACCACTTTCCTCCCTGATAATAACTCTTCCAGGAGTGGATTTCGATTCCTTCCAATGAAGAAGATTCCTATCACTTCCTGTTGTCTCAACCCCAATCTTAACTATGAGTCAAATATTTGTAACTTGGGGGTGTTCTGTATATGTATTTTGCTGCAAAGATGCCTTGAATTGTTGTCATTTTCCCTTCTGGTTCCAGCGGTGTCCATAATCCAAGCAATTCCCGTCTTCAGCAGCACTGGCAGGTTCAGCTTCATGCTGCCGTATCCATTGAGCATCACCATCCCCTTTTCGGTCTTTCTTCAACTCTATCTTGTGTTTCTATTTCTTGGTGAGTTTTTCTTTTCAGATTCTATAGAGCAGGCATGGGCAAACTTTGGTCCTCCGGGTGTTTTGGACTTCAACTCCCACAATTCCTAACAGCCGGTAGGCTGTTAGGAATTGTGGGAGTTGAAGCCCAAAACACCCGGAGGACCAAAGTTTGTCCACCCTACTATAGAGGCTTTTAAACAGAGGCTGGGTGGCCATCTGTCAGGAGTGCTTTGATTGTGCTTTTCCTGTCTGGCAGAAAGGGGTTGGATAGCTATGTGATCTCTTTAAATACACAGCAGAGTAACTTATCAGCAGCAGAGTGAGCCAGTACCAGTAGCCCAAAGTGATAAAAAGGACAAATACACACAGACCAATGTTATCTCTTCCATAGGAGGCTTTCCTTTGTAGTAAAATATTATGGTTGTACTATTTACAACAACAGGGTTTCCATAACACAAAGTTTTTATATACTTCCTTCTTTGCTTCCGTGCTGGGCTTTTTTCTCATGCAGATAAACAGCTTCACTCTCACAGAGCTGCCTCTCACACCAAAGTCACACAGGAGCTTCACACAGTAGGTTTTTACTCAGCAGCTTTCACACTGGAGTTTTACACACAGTGGCCTTCAATCTGGGGCTTCTCTCACCGAAGCTTCTCATACCAGGCCTACTCATACTGAGGCTTACTAACACTGAGGCCTACCTCACACTGAGGCCTTTCTCAGACTGAGGGCTTTCTCAGACTGAGGCCTTTCTCCCACTGAGGCCTTCTCACACTCAGGCGTTCTCATACTGAGGGCTTTCTCAGACTGAGGCCTTTCTCACACTGAGGCTTTCCTATACAGAGGCTTACTAACACACTGAGGCCCTTCTCCTACAGAGACCTCTCACAGACTGAAGACTACTAAGCTACACACACACCTGCTTACATTGAACAACAGCTTTTGCTCTGAGTCATTGCATCCATTTAACCCTTCCAGTACTTGACTCACCATTTTGTAATGAAAAATACCTAGTTTTTAATATTTCTGACAGTCTCTTCAGGTTGTTTTTATTTCTCTCCTGCTTTCCTTCAGGGCCATTTGTGAACTTCCGCCACCTCTACAAGCAGCGCAAACGGCACCTTGGACCCAAAAAGAGGAAAATGCACTAAAACCCAGCACTGGAACGATTCTAGGTCCTCATCTACTTTGAAGGCATCTATCTCTCATTCCTCGTCATGGTTTTATTTGTCCTTGTCACCTGAAAAAAAACCAGTTTTGTACAGCGATACCGACAGGCGTCTTTCCCAAACGCGCTCACACAGTTTCCAAGGAAATGTGCCCCTTTCACAAAACCGTATTGTCCTTTGCTCAAGTGAACAAACACCAAACAGGAGTCAGACCTTTTGACAACTGGTTTCCTGCTCAATAGGCAAAGCGTTGAAGGAGAAGAAAAACTTCCCAAATATTTTCCTTCTGTTTATTTCAGTCGAGAGCTTTGAAATGCCCAAGTGCATCTATACTGTAGAATTTATGCAGCTTGAGGCCACTGTAATGGCCATGTCTTGATGCGATGCTGAAATTTGTAGTTAGGTGGGGCACCAGCACTGGTTGCAGAGCTACAACCCCCCGGATTCCATAGGATCGAACCATCGCCGCTCAAGGAAGCAAAACCATATTAATTCCACAGTGTAGACCAGGTATGGGCAAACCCAGGCTTGGGGGCTGGATGCGGCCCCTTGGGCTCTTTTCTCAGGCCCTCCTCTCCATCACCATCCTATCCTTTCCGTCTCTCTAGCCTTCCTCCCTTTCTCCTTCCCTTTCACTCTTTCGTCCTTCCTTCCCTCTTTCCTCCATCTCCCTCTTTCTCCATCCATCCATCCATCCTTCACTTCCACCCTTTCCTCCTTCACTCAGTTTTGTCTTTCCTTCCTTCCCTCTTTTCTTTCTCCTCTTCCTCCTTTCCCTCCCTCTTTCCATCCTTCCCTTCCACCTTTTCATTCTTCCTCCCTTCCCTCTTTTCTCCTTCACTCCTCCCTTCCCTTTTGATCAGCATAAGCGGCCGAGTCCCTTCGGGGAGATGGAGGTGGGGTAGAAAAATAACCAACTTCTTCTTTCTTCTTCTTTTCTCCTCCTCCTCCTCCTGCTTCTTCTTTCTTTCTTTCTTTCTTTCTTTCTTTCTTTCTTTCTTTCTTTTCTTCTTTCTTCCCTTCTCTCATTCCCTTCCTTCCTTCTGTCCTACTCTTCATCCCTTCCTTCCTTCCACCCATCCATTCTTCCACTGCTTCATCCTCCTTTCCTTGCTTCCCTTTTGTCTTTCCTTCCTTCCCTCTTTCCGCCCTCTTTCTCTCCCTTTCTCCTTCCATCCTTCCCTTCCACCCTTTCATTCTTCCCTCTTTCCTCCCTTTCTCCTTCCTTCTTTCCCTTTGGTTTTTCCTTCTTCCTTCCCTTCCTTCCTTCCATCCTCCCCTTCCACCTTTTCTTCCTTCTTTCCTTCCCTTTTATATTTCCTCCCTCCTTCCCTCTGTCTTCATCTTTCCCTTCCTCTCTTTCATCCTTCCTTCCTTCTCTCTTTCCTTCCATCACCGGGTAGCCAGTCCTGCAGTCCTCCTTGCAGGGAGTGCTAGCATGCGACCCCAAGTTAGAAAGTTTGCTGATGTCTGGTGTACACAGATCCTTTATTGCTCCCAGCCGGAGCAGACCCTTTGCATCCATGCAATGAATCCCACTGGCAATTTGGCAAGCCACTGGATCGATGGCTTCCCAAATTGCCATCGATAAAGTGGTTTCACCAAAGTATTTTTACTGTATTATTATTAACTTTATCTCCGGATCATTATTAAATATTTCTCAATATTTTTTTCAGGTCGTAAAACCTATTGACAATAGGGACTATCAATAGATTTTAAGACCTGGGATTCCTGCAGTTTCCCAAAAAAGCATTCTGCCTCTTTGGCTATGCTGATCAAAACTGCTGGGAGTTGTAGTCCAGCCCCACTTGGAAGGATACTGGATTTTGTCGAAGGCTTTCATGGCTGGAATCACTGGGTTGTTGTAGGTTTTTTGGGCTATATGGCCATGTTCTAGAAGCATTCTCTCCTGACGTTTCGCCTGCATCCATGGCAAGCATGCTCAGAGGTTGTGAGGTCTGACCTCACAACCTCTGAGGATGGTTGCCATAGATGCAGGTGAAACGTCAGGAGAGAATGCTTCTAGAACATGGCCATATAGCCCAAAAAACCTACAACAACCCAGATATTGGATTTGAATCCAATTTAGGTGCAGGAATCTTGCTTGTTTGCCCCTAAGTTGGGTTTACCGACTCGGAGGAAAATCCTTTGGTTCCCTTTCTAAAACAATCAGATGCACCCAGCTTCCAGGCAGAATCATGCTCTTCATTGATTTTGAGATGTCTATCCTTCTCAAATTGGGGAAAAATAAAGACTACTTGGAGAGAGAGGCGTGACTCTTGCTATAAGCAAATAGCAAGTGATTTGTTATTAAATATGCCCTCCAATCGTTATCCCCACAATGAAGAAAGCTAGCTTTTGAGTAGGAAGGTGATCTTGCATTTCCTGATAGGATTCTGCTTAACTCCTCCATGGGAATACCCCCTTTGGGTTTAAAACGAAGATGATCAAGAAACGAACACTGGAGCAAAAGCCCCCCAAATTGAGACCTAAGATCGGTTTCTTGGGCATCTCTTGAACCTGACCTTTCCCCCAAATATTACTGCTCTGCTTCTGGCTTGTTGGTCTCTCAAGGTTTGGTGAATGCAATAGTTTGCATTACGCTGAGTTTTTCTGCTTTGGGTTTAAACCAGTGTTTCTCAATCTTCCTAATGCCGCAACCCTTTAATGCAGTTTCTCATGTTGTGGTGACTTCCATACACAAAATTATTTTCATTACTACTTCATAACTGTAGTTTTGCTACTGTTATGAATCGTAATGTAAGTATCTGATATGCAGGATGTATTTTCATTCACTGGACCAAATTTGGCACACATACCCGATGCACCCAAATTTTAATACTGAGGTTTGAGGGTGGATTGATTTTTGTCATTTGGGAATTGTAGTTGCTGGGATTTATAGTTCACCTACAAAGAGCATTCCGAACTCCACCATTGATGGAATTGAACGAAACCTGGTACACAGAACTCCCATGACCATCAGAAAATAATGGAAGGGTTTGGTGGGCATTGGCCTTGAGTTTTGGAGTTGTAGTTCACCTACATCCAGAGAGCATTGTGGACTCAAATCACAGATCTGGACCAACTTGGCACAGATACTTAATATGCCCAGATGTGAATACTGGTGGAGTTTAGGGAAAATAGACCGTAACATTTGGGTGTTGTAGTTGCTGGGATTTATAGTTCACCTACAACCTAAGAGCATTCTGAACACAACCAATGATGGAATTGAACCAAATTTGGCACACAGAACTCCCAAGACCAACGGAAAATACTGGAAGGGTTTGGTGGGCATTGACCTTGAGTTTGGGAGTTGTAGTTCACCTACATCCAGGGAGCACTATGGACTCAAACCACTGTAGATCTGGACCAAACTTGGCACAAATACTCAGTATGACGAAATGTGAACACTGGTGGAGTTTGGGGACCTTGATATTTGGAAGTTGTAGTTGCTGGGATTTATAGTTCACATACAAAGAGCCCCTTGAATCCCACCAATGATAGAATTGGGTCAAGCTTTCCACATAGAACTCCGATAACCAACAGAAAATACTGTGTTTGGCGGTCTTTGGCAACCCTTCTGACACCCCGCTTGCGACCCTGAGGTTGAGAAACATTGGTTTAAATATTTGAACTATCCAAAATGCCGAGTTGCCCTTTTCTCATGTAACATTCCTACCGAAATCCAAAAGCAGATTTCCTTGCCCAGTCTTTACTTCTGGGAATGAGAGGAAAGCAACGCATTGATCGTTTACTGTAAGCCGGTGAGGACAGGACATGCAGAGATATATTTTAGTCCTGAAATGATGGTTCAGTTCTCCCCATTTGCTCCAGGTGGGTAAATGTTTAGTTGTTTTTGTATCCCTATTTGGAGAGAACACTTAACTCTTAGCATTAGCAAAACAGCTTCTCGCTTCTTTTGTTGTCATTCCATCTGTTCGGTCACCGTTTAGGGTGCGGGCACTTTTGTCGCGAGTGTGGATTTGCTGCTCTTTCCGAAAGCAAACAGAATGTGAATTTCTAATATAAAGGTTTTTCAAACCTCTCTTCCAAATGGGTGGCTTTCCATTATTGTTATTTGAAAACAGAAAGCGTCTTGTGCTCGTTCTACAAAGATGAACGATCGAATGAATGTGGTACATTTTGCATGAGCTTATTTGGTTATAGCTAGAGGTTTAAAAAATGACACAAGGAACAGCTTCAAAGGAGGAGTGAAAGGCTGTGTAAGGTTTACTTAACTGTCAACAGGGGAAGAATTTGGTGAAATTTGGTATTGCTTTTTAAGATGAAATCTCACCATCCCATTTTGTTAGATGGACAAGGCTGGGAGGAGACATGAGTGCCATGTATAAATATCTGAAAGGCTGTCCTAAGGAAGAGGGAGCAGGTTGGTTTTCTGCTGCCCTAGAGACAAGGACTCGATAGAGCCATGGAAGGAGAGTCCCCCTGAACATTAGGAAGGATCTTCTTGTGGTCCATGGAAGGAGAGTCCACCTGAACATTAGAAAGGATCTTCTTGCAGTCCATGGAAGGAGAGTCCACCTGAACATTAGGAAGGATCTTCTTGTGGTCCAAGGAAGGAAAGTCCACCTGAACATTAAGAAGGATCTTCTCGCGGTCCATGGAAGGAGAGTCCACATGAACATTAGGAAGGATCTTCTCGCGGTCCATGGAAGGAAAGTCCACCTGAACATTAGGAAGGATCTTCTCGCGGTCCATGGAAGGAAAGTCCACCTGAACATTAGGAAGGATCTTCTTGCGGTCCATGGAAGGAGAGTCCACCTGAACATTAGGAAGGATCTTCTTGTGGTCCATGGAAGGAGAGTCCACCTGAACATTAGGAAGGCTCTTCTTGAGGTCCATGGAAGGAGAGTCCACCTGAACATTAGGAAGGCTCCTCTTGCGGTCCATGGAAGGAGAGTCCACCTGAACATTAGGAAGGCTCTTCTTGCGGTCCATGGAAGGAGAGTCCACCTGAACTTCTTACCCACAAGAAGGAACTCTTTGCATCTGAGTTCGGTGGAGGCTTTGAAACAGAGGCTGGATGGCCACCTGTTGGGAATGTCTGGCCGAAAGGGGTTGGCCCATGTGGTCTCTTCCAACTCTTCTACATGGGTTGAATGAAAAGTAATGCCTCCACCTTCGGAACTCCTCAACAGATAGCAGTACTGGTGTGCGGCAGGTATTGGCTTGTTTAGTAGACTCTCCTCTATAGTTCCATTTGGCGGGAAGCCTACCATTGAACGGCTGTGCTGTTAAAGCGCGAAGTATGGAAC